TGGGATTAAATATCGGCTGTTGTATGGCGTTGTCCATGAAGAGTATTTCGACTGTGTACTGCACCTTTTGAATTTGTTTTGTACGATCTCTGGAAAAAAACCTGAGACTTGCATCTCCGAAGCGAAACGCAAACGTCGAATGGTTTCTAAAAGTTATTTTGAAAATAACAGGGATCCAGTGATACTGTATGATGGTGATATCGAGTTGCTGGTGTACATTTATTGTAACTGGTCAAGCCGCGATTTGATTAGATTACAGAGTAATGTGAAATCATCGAAAGCCAAATGTCTACTTCAGCAGGCTTGTACCTTCATTGCTGATGCTGAACTGAGACAGCATATTGTCAATTATGCAGATTTCTCCAATGAGGATTGCATCACAAAAGCTTGTCTGCTGGAAATAAAAAATCTTTTTACGAATATTATCGATTCATTGGAGACAGAGTTCGATTTAGGTGTTGAACTGTGGTTTAATTTTATGCAAATTGTTGACATTCATCATTACTTGTCTCCACATACAATATCAGAAATGTTGAAACATCTACCGCTCATGAAGACTCGACTCGATTTTCGTCTGGAAGAGGAGAACGCACTTGTGGGGAAAACAAGAGGTCATATTTTAACAGTTGAAAATGTGTACGAGCTATTGAAAAATTGGATACCATCGGCTAAATGCGTTGAGAGATGTGTAGTGAATTCAATTAATGATCTTTTCATTTGGGTAGCTAGTTGCTTTGGGTATCATCTGCGCCAGATGGGAATCACTCCGGTGGACTGGAAGATTCATAAAAGACTTGTTGAGGGTTTTGCTAATTTTCATGTAGATAAATTTGGTGGTAATGTAGATGTACCATTGGGTGATGTCTCTACCATTGCAGTGTCACGTCGTGTTGTCGAATTCGTAGCCAATGCAGCACAACACGAGACTCGAAATTTTCGCATTGATGATGAAGCGATTAATGCAATTATGAAACTTATTCATCATGTCACTGGACGAGCGATTTATCCGGCAGTTGTAAATACAGAGAGACAACCCAATGTCAATACTTCAATCCGCCAGTATATGATTGCTCATGCTGTAAAAACGTACCTCCACGTCCATTCGACGGGAATATTTCCTGATCTATGGCCCAATGATTCTGATACCGACGATGATGATCCTGAAGTTTTGGATGATCTTGCAACACCCTTCAACAGTCAAGTATTGAAAAATTTTTTTGGCGTTAATGATGATTTGATTACACTCAGTGATGAGACAGAGTATTTACTCCGAGAATACAGGAAGAACCAAGATCAAATGTTACAAGACGGTGTATTAAATTCGCCCGTAAGATGCACACGCAATTTTCAAAATACTGGTGAATCCTCAAAACACAAAACGCCCGCAAATGAGAAATTCAAGCCGCTGAATGAAACGTTTAGGAGAACAAATTGTGTGCTGTGTAGTCGAAAATCAACTTCGCTGCGTCTTAATTTAATCAAAGGTGAGATGAGTATCGCTGCGTGCATGAATTGCATTAATCTCTTGAATCAATATAAGATCGATCATGAGATTCTCATTGAACGAGTGAATCATCAGGTACGTGCGCCAATATGTTGGGATGCTGAGTTTCAATTGATTGAAGGAAGTCCTGAAGATTTGCCGCGCACGAGAGTCACATACAATTGGGATTTGCGTGCTCGGCGTCGGGCTATTAATGAAAAAAAATCACGTTTACGTGGGGAGCGACGTGGCAAGAAAATTTTCATTACTGTCGGATGTAATGGTGAAGTCGAATGAACGAGAAAAGCGAATTCACATTGGTGTTGGTGCATTTTTTTTTAGGCGAATTTTTGGGCGAATCCCGAAACGATTCCTTAGAAATGAAAATTTACAAAAATATAATACGGGCAAAAATTAATAGAATATCTTTTATTTTTTAGTGTGACAGAAAGTGGAATAAAAATGCATCATCAAGAGGAAGACAATTGATGCACACATTTTCATTGACTTTTATTTAAATTTTTGGGAAAAGTGGGCTGCAATATTGATTCTGTTTTTCTTGAAATGTGAACGTCGTTGTATCGGTTATATGTTTGTCGATGAACATGTCTTTTGTAATTTCGACGGTTTCTGTCTCCTCTATCAACTCTTCAGGTGCATAGATTACTGGTTTATCGTGGTCAAAGACTACAGCACCAAGGTCGTTTTTGAGTAAATGAATCCTCAATTGCCCATTTTCATCCCCAAAAACCATTGGGAACTTGAAGACGTCCTCACTGGGTATTTTGTCGACGGTATAGTCTTTTTTAATAATATCGTATACTGTGCGATATACAGCACGTTCGTTGATATTTATCAGTTTGACTTCTGAAGGATTCATTGTCGGATAGTATCTGAGATCAGTTTTTTCAACACTTTCTGGCCTTGACACATCATTATTTCCGTTGTTGATTTCCATGGTGATGGTTAATATATTTTTTTTCGTGTCAATTATGAGATATTCTGTAATTTTAGCCGAATTTAATTTCCAAATACAATAGGTCTGATAGAGAATGCCATAATGGCGATAGTGGAATACCCATGACTTGGCAAAGTTTGCAAACAAATATGGATACTGCGAGTTGTGGGATATTTCTATGGGCTTGAGTTTATCTATTTCGATGAATCCTACACAAGGATAAGTAATTTCGGCCTGCCAATCGTCGTCAGCTAAGAACACTTGTCGTGATTGAACCCGATATTGAGCTGCCTGGGGCAGACTTTGGTTAGTTTTAAAGTAGGCGACATCAGCTTGCACTCCATAAACCATGAAATTAATATTTGGAGTAAAATATCGAAGTATTCTACTAAATGGCAGCACCGCCAATCCCCATGTGGTCCCCTGATATACCTCAACTTTTAGACTTTTCGTTCGGTTCATAATACCCATTGGAAGCCTTGGGATATGCTCATGGATGAGTATTCTTATTATTTTCTGACAGAAGGACATAAGATTGACATTACTGAGTTCATCCGTCAGAGAATATGTGTATTGTAGTCTTTCGTCGCAATACTTGTCGAGGTTTTTAAACGCCAACACTTTATCAAGTTTGTAAAAACTCAAATCACGATGTAGTCCCATTTTATGCCTGGCGGTACTGATGTTTTTAAGGTAGCCTAGACAATCTTGATACACTGAATAATTAGGCGCATTATTGAGAGTCCCTAGACGATTATGAGCTAGAACCCAGGAACCAAGCACTCGAACAGTATGGTAATGGAATTTTCCGGCAAACATTAAAGGCATCTTTGGAATAACGGACAGCATAAGTTTTGCAGCGCAGTCCTTGTTACGAGCATTCGAGGTCAGTAAGTACGCGGTTAGAAATCTCCGAATTGTCAGTGAAAGAGAAAACTCAGGGCCTTTCCAAAGATTTCTTATCAATAAATCCGATTGGTTGAATGTACCCCTTTTATATATCTCTATCTCCAGCTTCTGAAGATAATCTTCAGCTACCACAAGCGCTCGTTTGCCATCTTCTCTGTCCTGGTTTTTCCAAGAATAGGCGAGACCAGTCGATAAAACATCACAAATACGAGTGAGTGATTCGGAATTTTCTGGCCAATCCTTTAAAATGCCGGTATCGGAAGAATTTTCAGTATAACCCGCAAGTTCTTCAGGTAATGTTGATGATTCAACCCATGCCTCCCGAGCCTTTTCAAAATCAATAACTACCTTTGGAATTATCTTCGCTAGTGTCATGGTTTTTATTTCTTCTGGCCATAGTAGCCAATATATAAAGATTATCAGTATCAAAATAAGTATGTTCCAAAATATAATTGTCTTTTTGATGTTTCGTATCATTTTTAAATAACAAGTACTATTTATTGAGAACACATTAGTTTATTCATCATCACTACGAGCGATTCTATCAGCTGATCAATTGAAACACGTGACTTGATGATAATGGCTGACACAGATTCTTATCAGCACTCTTCTGGTTCTTTCAATTTTCTCCCTCTTTTTTTTTCAGGTTCAAAAAATTTACATATTTATCGATGGATAATCCCTTCAAGCCTTAAACGCTGTTAATGAGAGTATTTTGGTGTCGTTGCTTAATCCGAATGAATAATTTCATTCTCCTGGTCTTTGGTATTTGTCATTTCGAGGTCCGAAAAATCCTCGTGTGTTGTGAATGAAATATTGCGTTCACGATGCTGATTCCAATGAACTACGAGTATAATTGCTCGAAGTAGCTGGTGAAAACGCGCACCTTCCTCACGACTAAATTGTTTAATATACGTATTCGAATATTCAGAAGACAATACATTCAAGTCCTCATTTTGAACAATTGGCACTGACAATTCATCAAGTAAATTCACATTGCTCAGAAAATTAACTTGCGTTACGGGAGTGTAAATTGGTTGATTTATATAATGTGCAACGAGTGGTCTCGAAATAAAAACTGTATTGTTATGCGAAATTATGGGTTCAAGAAGCGGTACTGTTGTTTCTACAAGATTATACGAGCGTACCCCCATGACATAGCCAATGGCATTGCGTATAATTTTTAAATGACTGATCGAATAATATAGAGGTAAATTTTTATCGTAAAATCTCCGTGCCAACTCCAAAACATTCTTCCAAGATGTAATTGAGGTACTCATTTTATATTCCAAAATCAAGACTACTTTCACAGTAAACATAAATGTAATATGCGTCTAATAAAATTGCGACTGCTTGTGGTGATGAAATTATTCTTTTTGTAATATACAGTCATTTAAAAATGCAATGATGTATTGAAAAGAGTTGACGATATTATCAATGATGTCAATGAATATTATATTAGCCATGTGAAAAGCCTGAGATGAGTACGTAAGGACGAGCCTTAGATATCGGAGCTCATAGCCCTGAAGAAGCAGACTGCAGCATGTTTGCAAAATGTTGACGCAATGTTGAAAATAAATGCGCTAGTCACCCAAAAGCCAATAAAATTGTCAGTACTAGATATCACTGTACACACAAACATCAACAAAATAGTCAATCAATAAATCCATTTATTTACGATCAAACCCATTGATTCAATCATTTAAATTATCCACCTACTCAATCCTGACTAAAAACAATCCAGGAGGAAACAGGGGAATTACTACTTCCAGACTAGTGTTTTTCAAACGTCAGTCTGAAAATAACTATTTTATTACAGAATACGTGAAAAAACACCTGCCACAGAAGAAAAAAAATTCAGGAGATTTATTTATTACACCGATGTTCAAGCATCTCGACCGGTATTCCGCAGGGACTAGGTGGTCACATGTGAGTTGTTGAATATTCAGGATTTTTCAACGAAAATATCAAAAAACCTTGTTCAAATGTGTATGTCTAACATAACAGAAAGTTTGAATTGAATATTGTATTTTTATATGAAAAAAAAAAAAAATGGTAAATATGTACTGTTTTTTCGCCCGAGAAGTCCATGTAACCCTTTAATTAAAAAAAAAACTTCGTCTCACTCTCACTCAGCCAGTGCCTCCAGAATTGGACTCCTGTAATCTGAGAATGCCTGAAACATTTGGAAATGAGTCTCCTAAAACATAATCCCTTCTGTTTCCGTTCAAAGACGATGCAGTACGCTCAATAACATTCCCAACAACTTTTATCTAATTAATAATTATCAGCTATGAATACATACATACACATCACTTACTTAAATCTAAAGCTTCTCGTATAAAATGCCTCGTACTGAGTCAACCTATTGGAAGGGAAATAGAGAAGGAGGTGGAGAGTCCAATAGATGGACAAATAATCTTAATTTCATTTATTTTAGCAAACGTCAACGGCGACAAGAGGCACGATGAGCTTGTTCTCTTCTCTCCCAATAATGCGTGTCAAATTCATATTGATCAATATCTTCAATTGATTTAGTGTTTTTCATTCAACAAAATATTTATATGAATTGTATAATCACCAGGCGTATGTCCACGTCAGAGAGACAAAAAATCATTAAAGTTGAATGACTCCATTATTCTTCTCATCACTCATTTTTACAAAAACAAAGAAAAATAAATGAACACCTACCAATTAGTGGCAGCATATTTTTTTTTTAACGCAGTGTGGATGTACAGTTTCAGGGTTCGTCATTAATTATGTTATTTCATCGGTTGAGAATTAATTAGCAGCAATCACAGCGGCCGCTGCTGATGACGATTTTTTTTTGAGTACGATGTCCTTTAAGTTGAGATTGACCTTCTCTTTGCGTGGCGGTGGTACTGACTGGAGACAAAAACGCTTGAATGCCTCCAATTCACGTTCAGCATCATCCATTTCACCGTCCTCTATATCTTTTGGCGTGAATACGCTTTCTGGAAAAGACGAGCTCTGAATACTACGGATTGAGGAGAAGATAATCGTTGAGTAATATTTATAAATTGACGCCTTTTTTCACCCGGCTTGTGTGATTCATTGTCAGAGATTATTCGGTTGTATTGTTTGTGTATGTTTGTTGAAGATGTTAATGATTTAAAAATGAAATAGAATCCACTGAGATTGCTTCTTAGCGAAGCAGATGAAAGAAGATGAATTAAAAGTGGAATTACAAATAGCTTCGGAAGAATAAGGATTAGACAAATACGTTCAAAGAGATTTTAATGATATTTCATAAATCTCTTCGTATTTTTCGGCGTTATCTTATAAATTTTGCAGATTACTCCAGAATATCTCTGCATCGCGAGCAAAAAAAAATAGCCGAACGTAGCATTACTGCAAAGAAATGCCGAGCAATTTAATTTGAATTTCAACATGAGTAATGATTTTTCAATCGAAAAAAAAAGTCTATCCACTTTTTTGTCGATAGACAACATTGTGTAATTTTCAATGAGAGTTGGCGAATAATCGCGATTCAATGGTGAAGGTACACAAAAGATTTCTTATTGTTTTTCAATGTGTAACGAACAATAGAATCAAAGTCGCAGTAATGTGAATGGACTCCACAAAAAAAGGGAAGAAATATCATCAGTATCAATAAAAAATAGTTGTTCTGCTGTTCTTTCAGAAAATAGTCATTACCAATTTATTAAATATCATTATTAATACCTAATATCACAAAGAAGTATTTCCGGTCACGGTTAAACAGTATATCAAATATATCTCAGAGGTCCTGAGGTCGCAGATGTGAATTACAAATAATTAAGGTAACGTAAATTAAATTAAGAACTGAGTGAAGTAATGTATCACAACAAACAATGAAAGAGAGAGAGCATAAATGTCAGAAGACAGACTTAAAGAAAAAATGTAACAGGTAAAAACCTAGAACCTTGGAAGACCTACAACCTAATTCGAATATTTTTCTCTTAAATTTTTAATAAATAAATTAACAAAGAATTTAAGCGATCACGTCCAGGGAGAAGTAAATAGAAGATATATAAATTAATATTATTCATTTCTCACCAACGAGATTCCAGTCATCGCCACACTGTGTCGCACCATTTCCCTTTTTCTTCTTCTTCTTTCCTTTTCCACTGGTAGTCGCTTGAGTCGGTTGTGCATCGTCCCATCTAACTGCATCCGGTGTTTTAACTTTCGTCAATGTAAGACTTGTACCTTTTAAATTAATTCCATTCTCTGGTATAGGCTGTCCATTCGTCACTTTACTTATTTGTATATTAGCCAGACCCTGAATACCAGTGCAATCTGGTGTCCAGCGACTTCTTAAATCAGCGAGACTCGATGATATAAGACCATTAGCATTTTTACAGGTTGCTGGTGGTGATAATGGTGATGTTCTATTAGCACTAGCCGTTGTCAAATCACCTTTTACGATAAAATCCGGTTTTGGCGGTGGTGTCAAACCCGCGTTAATAGCCTGTTGAAGTGCTGGACTTCTTATCGTCACCATGCCATTCTCCGAGACTTTTATTATTGCTGCCTGCTGGGTTGGCTCCATCTTCGGGGCTGGACCGAATGCTGGATTACGAATTGTTACCATGTTTGTAGCTGGATTGTGGAGAATCTTTGCCTGATCGATTTGGGAATCTTTTGATGATTCATTGGAGGCTTTTTGAGTGTTATTAGTGGAGTTGGACGAGTTGTTCTTCTTCTTCTTCTTTTTACTTGATGTTGTGGTGGATTGGGACTGACTCGGTCCTTTTTCCGAGCTTTTAGGTAATAGCTCTTGCTTCAACTTGCCAGTGTCAACCACGATGACATTGCCCCCCGACTGTGAACCCCCATAATTCGACTGTAACCCAGTCATGGGAGCTGCTATAATAGTCGCTTGCTTTTGCTGAGCAGGCTTTTGCAACGGTGCAGTCTTAATAGGGAGTGGCTTTGCTGGTGCATCGACCTTCGTTATCGTAATTCCAGGTGGTAATTTCAGATTCTCAATATTAATCTTGGAACTGGCATCCTTAAGCTGGCTTCCGGGTGATGACGTTAATTCTCGATTATCAATGGTCATCCGAGGTTTCGAGGTAGGTTGATTAGATTTGCCGATTTGATTCTTCTGATTATCCATTTTTCCATTTTGCTTATTATTCTTTGAATTGTTCTTTCCATTTGCACCGGTGGGCTGATTCTGCTGATTACTCAGAGCAGTTTTTTCCTGCTGTCCCTTTTTCTTGCCACTAGAAACTGAAAGTGCATTCATAACATTCTGCTGGCTGACATTTACCGTTTTACTCTCAGTCAATGGTTGAGACTTGTTTTTCTTCTTTCCTGTGCTCTCCTGCTGTTGGATCTTTCCCTTTGGTAATTGATTATTAGTATTACTTGCATTACTAGTCTGCTGAGTGACCGGTTGCTTGTTTTCAGCATTATTTTTATTTTTCTTTGACTTTTTACTCGAAACCTCGAAATTCTGTTGCTGTTGCTTTTTCTCCTCAGTCTGCTTTCCACTATTTTTTAACTTATCGTTAATTGGCTGTTTCTTCAAGTTCTTTGGATCGTGCTTAACGGGTTGACATTTCTGATTAGACTGATTATGTGATTGATTTTGTTGAATTTTTCCCTGTTGCTGCTTGTGCTGACTCGCACTACTATTACTCTCATTACTTTCAACACCTTTACTCTTCTTCTTTTTCTTCTTTGATGTCTGTGGCTCAATATTCGAGGGCTCCTTGGTTTGTCCATTCACAAGAGTAAATAAAACCTTGTCCTCAGCTGGAGTCTGGCCCTTCAAGGTTATCGTCACTGTTGGTTCAGCCCCATTAGATTCCATGACCCTCTTGATCGTTACAATCTGGGGAGTTTCTACTTGAGCGGCTTTCTGCTTTGCGCTCTCTGCATCCGTAGCTCGTATTGCTCGTCGCAATTTTTTCCTCTCCTTCTTAGTGAGGGGAACCTCAGGCTCAGGCTCTGGTTCGGGTTCAGGCTCAGGCTCAAGCTCAGGCTCAGGCTCGGGCGCGGGCTTTGGTTCGGAAGGGGACGCAGCTTTCTTCTTTCCTTTTGATTTTCCTTTACTCTGTTGAAGGTTTTCATTGTTCACCTTAGAATTCTGTTTCGTTTTAGCCACATTAGCAGACATGGGCGTACCTTGGGGAATCGTATTTGGTTGTTGTTTCATCTTGCAGTTGTTCTCCTGTTTATTCTTCTTTACAGGCTGCTGCTTCTGTGGCTGAGGCATCACAGCTGGCAGTATCGATACTTCTGGTAGATTTCTATTATGCAGAAATTTCTGATTAACTGGTTTTTGTGGATCAACTACTGTTATCGTCACCTCGGGTGTTTTCTTCTGAAGTTCGATGAGTTTCTGTCGTTCTCTCTCCTGCTTCTCCAGCCTCATGGCTTCCTCGAGTTTTTTTTGACGCTGCCTAGCTTTCTTTTCACTCCGTTTATTATCCTTTTTATCCTTTCCAGGTTGACTACCCTCTATAAACTCGAGAAGTGCATTGAGATCCCTCTGATCCCTCTGCTCAGGTAGATTGGTGGAAGCGACAGATATCGGTGTATTTGACCTTGCTCGTGAATTTATGGACATTGAATTATGATCAGATGTGGCATTGGAAGATGGCACCGACTCAGTAGGACTCATAGGAGGGCTACAGGCAGCCTTGCATTTTTTCGCCTTCTTTTTCGTAAGTAACTGTCTTAATCTCTCTCTCATCTCGTTGTAATTCCGACTGACAGGTGCCACCGAGGGAATCCCATGACCGAATACTTCACAGTAGCAGCAATCACAGTGCCTACTCGAGTCTCTAGGTGTTGAACTGCTAGTAGAGCATGAATCGTCATGACTACTTCCCGAATCCGAGCAGTCCCCATCAGTCTGGCTAAATTCATTCGACGTTACACGTTTTATATCCTCCACCTCTGGTTGCTTTTGGCAAGAATGATTACTGTGAGTGTGGTGATTCATATGACTGTGGGGACGATGACTCGGAGGTGAAGATTTTGAATTATCGGAAGGTGCATGGGAGTGACCATGATTGGGGCATCTCCCTTGGTGTCCATGATTATGAGGTGTCGATGGAGTTTGTGTGGTGGAATGCCTCGTTTGGGTCTGAATAGAGGCAGATTTTACACTACTCGGTGGTTTAACCACTTCAGCAAACTCTTTTGGTGGGATCACATTGGAAGGACTATCGGGTTTAGATTTTTTCATTCTACTGCACACCTTGTTGTGCTCCCGTACACACGGACAAGAACTCTCGGGCAAGTGTCTCATGTACAACATACAGAGACAGGGAGGAAAGGGAAGAAGACCTCTCCAGGATGATCCCTGCCATTCACCAAGATGTCTGTAGATGCAAATGCAACCTCTTCGTTTTTCATCATTTGATTTTTTAATGGGTGGCTCCTCCCCGTCAGGAGAAATGGATATTTTATCATTGAGCTGAAGAGTAGGATGTGCACAGGCGCCTGTTTTCGTTCGTCCATTGACGACGAGGTAGGATACCCATGAGACTTCGTCACAAGTCGGACACTCTGTTTCGGTTTCTGTGGCATTGTCAATGGGTTGAGAGAGAACTAGCCATGCTGCCACTTGGTAACCGAAGTAAAAACCTGGGTCGTCAATGGGACGACCCTCGAACCTGTCGACCTCACCGTCCATGAAGAGAGCATAAACTCCGAGATAACCTTGAGCCATCGTTTGGTATACCTGTTTTCCCCAGGTATCGAGAATCTTTCGAACTAAATCGATTACGAGAGTGTCTTCGATTACTTCGAGCTCCTTATGGAGGAAGGCACCTTGTAGGAAATCTTCTGCCCCAACTCCTGGTACATCAGGTGTTCGAAATTTGTCTGCTTTCTCAATTTCAATAACTGTGCACAAGGTCCAGTCACGTTTACCGATTTTACGGTCTTTCACTATCTGGGCAACTTGCTCGGCCGAATATTTATCGATCAGGTGTTCTTTTTCGGGCCAGAGACCTGCTATCCTCATCATCTCGTCTACAAAAGCTAGATAACGCTCCAGCAGGACCTGGAAACCCTTCCCCCTTCGGGGCTTACGAAGCTGACCAACTACTGAGGGGAGAATATTACGAATTGTTGGCTCGTAGAAGTATATGTAGTTCTGGTAGAGCTTCTTATTGAAGAACTCCCAGGTAAGATTGAATTTACTCAGGTGACGCTCCTCTAGGGGCTTTATCAGCTCAGAGACCTGAACTGCTGTGGTAATTAGAATATCGTAACCATTCAACAGTCTCGTTAGAAATACTTCAGCTATCCTTGCCAGACTGTTGTCTCTGATAGGATCCATTATTCGAATTTTGAGCTCCACTACAAATTCCTGAGCTTGCACCACCAACATCAAGAAAAATTTGTGTGGATGTTCCCTCGATAATCTGGATTAAATAAATATTACTGAGTGTTGAATCTAAAATCGTTTTGAGGAGGTGTTAATTTCTACTTTTACTTGACGTTTGAGACTTACTCCTGAACGACTTTTTGGAGCTCAGCGTATTCTTGAGGATCACATTGATACTTTGAAATTTTATTGACATATGGAGACTCGATTGCTGCATTGAACACAGAACGTATGTACGCTCTCAGCTTCATTCCTTGAGATTGCCACCTCCATATTGTTTCAATCTTTTCTTTCAAGAATGCTCTGTTATGGAATTAAATAAATAATTAATACAATTGACATAAATTCAAATTATTTCCAGATTTAATTCACAAATATTTTTGGAGCAAAATGAGTACTGATGTTGACATATGGATTTTTGACTCAGTAGCAGCTATTGATTAGCAATTAATTTCAACAGTAGGTGAATTACGAAAATTCATTGAAGAATTTTCTGGCAAGGATTTCTACAGGCAATTAACAAGGATCGTTGACATTTGTCTGTCAATCCTGTAATTCAAGCCATTTGCACAGTATCAGTACAAATTTTCCCACCTTCTTCTCCTCCGCATTCAACCGAAATTTCAATGATTAAAAACCTCTGAGCTGTGCAGGATTCACAGGAACAATTTTCAGGATGTCTGGCAATCGGCTTTTTATCGAGTATTGTCGTTGGATTTAGCCTCTGTTCATCCGATGAAATGGCATTCTCGATGTCCTCCTTTCGAACAATAAACAATCATAAAATCACCGTTGAATATCAACTGACAACAAAAGAATGTGAGAATGTGGAATGAAAAAGGACTAGAAAAAAAATCAAACACGAAAAAAGAATTGAGGAGAAAGGACGAAGGGGAGAGCGAAAGGGTCAAACGGACTAACCATTTGTACTGGTTCAAATAAAAAATTCTCAGGGACAACGTCAAGGGCATCAGGTGCACCATCAGCCTCTTGTCGTTGATCCTCAGCGACTGGATCATCATCAGAATCAATACTGTCGTCGTGTGAATCATTATCATCGGGATCCTTTGCCAGGACGTCACCCATTGTAACACCGTTTGTTTCACTTGTCCTGTCGCACTGACTTTCTGTGTCGTCGCTACCACTCATGCTTAGATAAACCGTTTTCAATTGTGCCTTTTTAAATAATTAAAATACCGCCAATACGATAGGCTCTATTCTTGCTTGTGCCTCGATTGTTGTTAATGTTTTAAAACACTTTAATCGATAGGAGATTCGTTTTTTTAGCCTTGGGTTGATGTTTTTTTCGTCGTTCGCAGGCACGAGAACCGAGGTTTCAGCCGCGTACCGCGTAAACACCTACACCGCGCTGCTACAGTCAACATTCGTTCAATATGGCTGACAGCGTGCTCTGCCAATTTTAGTTGACAGCTGCTAGCCCAGGGGTAGCCACTGCTCAACTCAAATCCCGCCATATTTTCAAATTTCAACACGCACATATTCCTGTTACCCATGCAAAAAAATTTAAATTATTCGTTCCCCACATGAATAGGGTAATATTTAAAATTTAATTAATTCTGTTCCTGTAATTACAAATTAGTGGAGGATAAATGTAAATCAATGTAAAAATCAAACAGTTTAGTTTTATTTCGTGGTATTTCATTTTATTTTCTTATCAGTCGAATGACAGGCTAGAACTTATTATATCATTAGTTTAATTCAGTATTAATTAGAAATAACGTGATTGATGGCACTCGTTGCGCTCAACGTTCGCTGGCCAGTCACAGACGAATTTGTCAGGGTTGAAGATCAGGCCAGAAGCGCATTGGAATTTCAAGGGTTTTCCGTAAACACAGCGGTAATACTGTCAATGGAGGAGGAATATTCATTTAAACGAATTAACGAGGATGAATAATAATTAAGGTTATTACCGAGTCACAATCTCTTCCAGCCATGAAGTCCTGACCACTGCATTGAATTTCATTGTCACCATCGTCAATATCAGGAGTTACAGGTGAATTTGTGGGTCTAGATGGTCGAGTTGGTTTAGGTTTTGGTTTATAGGCCGGTCTAGTTGTCTCTTCGGTTTGTCTCTTCGGTGGTGTTGGTTTGCTATCCGAAGGACTTGAAGTCGTACTTGGAGGTCTGTCCCACTCGGGTCTGGGCTTAGTATTGGGCTTTGGCTCTGGTACCCTGTAACCCTTCATGTTCTTGTGAAGAATTTTCGTGAGAATGTCCTTTTCTCCACAAATTCCGTTGAAATCGTCCATATCAATGGCCCAACTCATCGCCCCGGCGTACCCTTTTGATTTTATCCAATCCATTTTTATTTGAAGACTGTCTGGATCTTCATATCCCACCCATTGTGTTCCTGAGTAAAAAACGAATTTCAATCTGTCAATTTACTTCATGAATTTTCTGATGAATTATTACCTTTGTAGGCGTACGGAACTTTTCCAACGTTATCATATTTCTTGGTCCATCCACCATCAGGATCATTGATAGCAGCGCAAATCTAATGACGGGAATTAATGGAGATGATTAAAAACGAAAACGGTAAGTAATGTAAAATTATATGGATATTACTTCGTAGTAAGCGAGAAATCCTTTAGCGCCTGTAAATTCTCCGGGCGCACCACCGCCCGCCTCTTTGTTTATGTAAGTGCCGAGATTGTAATTATTATTACTAGCACTGAGGGTGAATGTACGTCCGTAAAATGGAACACCCACCACAAGTTTGTTCGACGGACACCCGAAATCTTCCCAAAGACTTAATCCATCATTCTGAAAAAATCGACTTATTCAACGTTTCTCCTAAAAATTCATGAATAACAAATAAAAATCGGCTTAGAAAATCCATTTGTTGTTCGTCTGAGACTTCACCTTTTCGCTATCAATCGATGACTCATTCGGCCATTTGATTAATGCAATATTTTATGAATACTTACGACGTTGAGGGCTTCATATGCATATTGATCATGTGGCCGTCTATAAAGAGGACTGTGCACATCGGCAAATCCAGCCCAATTGCCTCTTAAATCATACGCCATTACATGAATAGCATCAACATTCCTGTGAGATTGTAATCAAAGTCTGTAATTACTCGTTGAATTATCTTTTAAATGGAATGAATGAAAGTGAAATTTCGAATTTTAGAGATAATAATTGAAACAAACTGGCAGAGCTCTGGCACATGGTAGCCTTCATTAAGTCGAAATTTCGCCATTGGTACAGCCATGGTAATTTCCCAGCCCTTCTGCTCCCTGTCAAAGGCACGTCGCAATTCTTCCACAAAATAGAAGAAATTGTTTCTGTCTGAGTATTTACCACCCCTGTCTGTTGCACCAGGATACTCCCAATCGAGATCAAATCCATCGAATCCATATTCGTGCATAAAAGCTGTAATTCAATCGTTACATCAAATAATTCTGCGGTGAAATACTAGGTTTGCGGTAAACTTTGTGCACGTGGATTATTGCGCACGGGGAAATTCAATAGAAAATCCAACCGCAACCAGAGAAAATTCTATTGTAATCCTATTTGACCATTACAAATCATTACAAATCAGTAGCGAAGTGGTAAACTGGAATAAATATATTTTTTTCGAGGCCAGATTTCCGCGGATAACTCAGAATTGAAGGAGTATATCGATTTCTTTGCATAGACATTTTTTTGAGGTGAAGATGAGGGCTACGGAAAAGGTATCGATGAAAATACCGTTATCTCCTTTCAATTCTGAGATATCAGTGTAAACTTGAAATCTGGCTAGAACTCACCAACGATACTCTTTATGAACGTATCCCGCCTCGGTTTACTTCCAACAAGTGCACTGTATTTTCGTCCACCCTCTCCCCATCCCCCAACAGCCACTTCAGTCTTCAATTCGGGAAATTTATTTTTTAAATTGACGAACTCCTTGAATCCACCGCTCTCCACATCCACTTCAGGATCCAGCACGAGGTATTCCCATGTGACATTGCTCACACCAATGAAGGAGTAGATAACGTGGGTGCAGAGATCTCCACGAACATCTTTAATTCCATAACTACCAAGTCCGGGTCGGTAGATCGCCCAATTACTGAAATAACAGACTATTCTTGCAGACTGCTCTGCCCCTGAATTCAAAAGTTAATGCGAGGTAATTATTTCGGGGTTCTGTTTAATTTATTTTGTTATATTCGAATAATTTGAATATATTTCATAATTTTTATTCATACCGCAAGTGAATGTAATTAGTGTACTGAGCAGTGGGCACACCAGGAGTGCTTTGATCGTCATCATGATTGATCCTAAAAGTTAGAAATCAATGCATGATATATATTCCCATGGAAAAAATTGAGTAATTATTTAAAATGAACTTAAATTTTCACTCGTTTGGGGAATATTGTCACGTTTAATATAAACCGTTTTAAAATTTTACGACGGGTTCATACGTTCGAGGGAAAATCCCGCAAGGGAATTTTGACTATCTCGTTTCCGCATACGTGACATTGTCATTAATGCTTTTGTCATTAGACAATGCCGACTCGCATCCCATGAATTGACATGCCAGTTGCGTTGAATATTGATTAAGCCAGAGACAAATGGGATTAAAAATATTTGAATGAAGGTTCTATGCGGATTTTTTTTTTCACCGAGGTCGAACCGATGGCATTTATTGAATTCATTTGGTTTTGGGGATGAGTTTGAAATGCACAATGCATCGAGTACATCTCGTTTACTCTACCATACTTCAATGATTCGAATACAAATTCGATGAGGTGAAGATTCTTCACGAATTACTAATTCAAAAAGCTAGAGAAAACGTATACAAGAGATATTTTCTACATTGCCTATATTTTCCAAAATATAAATTGCATTGCGAATTGGCAGAATGGGTTTGTTGCGTGTGGAAATCGATAAAATTGATAAATTGGCGCTTTTGACTCATTCGGGAAAGAGATATTGCGTGTGGATTACAATTGAAATAAACACGTTAATGGGAATGGAAATGTAATGAAACTGAAGAAGCCACTACTCACCTTCTTGGCGAACCGGTCGTTGGAAAAATCATGGTAGGAGCTGGAGGATCTGGTGTCATATATAGGCGGATGGGAGTCTCATTATAATTCAGGTGCACGGGCTACACGCGATTGGTCGGTTCGACGAACCCGTTGTGTAGTTATTCCCTCCGAGAGGATCAACTCACTTGTAACATCACTCAGAGACTCAGAATGGGGATTTAATAATCCATTTCATTTCTACCAAGTTCAATTTCATTGAAATTTTTTATTATAGAAATTATTCTCCTAAAGAGGAGTGACAGTTGAAACTTGAAACATTGTTATACAGAACATTTAATGCTTTAATATAATTTCTTTTAGAAGGATTGCTGGAAATTGATGGAATTTACTTGACGAGGAGATTGTTTTATGGATAAAAAGAGGTGGAGATAACGTAATAAATGTGAATCAATCAGAGTCATTGAATGAACAGGGAGATTCATACATTGGAGATCGGATTTTGATATCAGTGATTCAACTCTCTGTCTACTTCTTTTCATCGTTTGTTTTTTAGGTCCTTTGGATTTGAATAAATCATATCATGAGTCAGTGGCGAAGATTGCTTTATTATTCAAGAGTCAACGAACTGGTATTTTTTTTATTTATTAAGAATTTCATTGACTTTCTTAATCGTCATTTTTATTTGTTCATTTGGGGAGTGAATTGAAAAATTTATCATGTGTGGGGGTTTTTCAAGAAAAATTTGACTCGAATTAATATTTCACCTTCGAAAGGCGAACATTCTTGAAACGATACGTTGATATTTTATTTTTCTACGTTCTCCAATCGAATTTCAATTCCATGTATCGGTGACAATTCTCGAAATAAATTTATTATTTCGTGGAAAATCTCTATAAATTAATTCAAAATCATAAATATTCATTGGTGGAGGGTTTATAATACGTAGAGACAAGACTGACTCATCCATTCATCTACTAGCTTCGATCAATGAGAAAAAATTGACAGAATATAAAAAACTTCACATACCAGTGACAATATACAACGATTAAAAATTAAATCTTGTGTTTCATATTGAATTTATTCAAATATTCAACGAAATGAAAATATTATGATTTTGATAATGAGAAAAAGGTGTGAAAAAAAATATTAGGGAATGATTATGTTGACACTGTAAACCGGATTTAAATGTCTCCCATGGGTGAAATTTATTGCAGAGAATAGAAATACTTACTTTTTCCCCGTATTTTTTTTACGAACATTCCACTGTTCTCCAACACTGTAACTTCTTACATAAATTCCATGAAATATTACAGGCTCCACAGACAATATTATTAACACGCTTTGAACGTTTGAGCTTTAAAAAATTCAAATATACAAGATGAGAATTTTTTATTCTCTCGTGATCTGGTAGAATACCCCAGTTCACTGGCCTCATCGAAAAATCCAGTTCAACGCACGAAAAATCACAAAGAAATCTCAACCTGTGGTGACAGTGTGGAAAAAATGCAGTTGAAATAAAAGGAAGTAATTCGATAATATAAAAACCAGTTTGTGTCTTTTATTTGTCTTGAAATTTCAGTAACATTCATTTCTTCCGCCCACATATTTGACTCATTCCCTCATCTTCTGTTGTCTCATAATCTTCAATTAAATCAGAGGAGAAATAAACATTAGATCGGCCATCGGTGCATTACAATTTTATCCACGAATGGTTTCATTGGTTGTATTATGAAAAATTATTTTAGGACACTATGTCAGATGTGCACGGGCCATCGGAAAATTAACATCCACGAGTGTATCATGGCATTTATATTTTACCTCCCTTGTTCATCTGAACTCTTCGGTTTTTAACTACAAAATATTTATAATATAGGGTGTATAATATATAACTATGCAATAATCAACAGATTAGTATACAATTAAAACGTGGAAACAATAAAATTGAGCGTCTAAAAATCATGATAGAAACACGGGCTTCAATAAAAAAAAATCACTCCGTTTGAAATGGGGAAATCATTAAAAATTTCTCTTCTCTACAATCTACAATTATCATTACGCATAGATAGTGTTCTGTATAATATTTCCTAATAGAATGATTCATTAAGCATAATCATTCGTACATTTCGTCATTTGCAGTCGTATAATTTCTTTCGCAATTATATTTCTAAGCTCTAACAGTTTTATCTTTATGTGCGAAAATGTAGGACCAGTGTTTGGATCTTTATTAAAAAATTGTCCGCGCATTTTTTTTGTTTAGAATTATAATAAAAATTGTTAGTGTATAAATTTCACTGACGTCTCGGATCAGTCAATCGTTGAATAATGAACGTCTCGAGATCTTAATTTATGTTTGTTCTCAAGGGAAAGAGACTAGGTGAGGAATTGCGGGTTTGATTGAATTATTTTGAGGGCGCGTCAGGTGTCTCGATACTCTAAATCACCTGGAAACATTTTTTGGGTTTACTTGTTAGTTATTGATATTATGTAAATACAATTGGTTATAAGTTCGGTAATAATAATTGATTCAGTTCAAGTCGAAGAGGGCGATTTAAAGAATTATATGAATATCTCAACGATGAACTTTCGAGGAAAATGCAAAGAGAATTTTTTCTGGAACATTTCACGTCCAAAATATCTGACTTTTTCTCCTGAAATCAATAGTCAAAGAAATAATCGTCTCATAGAATTAGAAAAATATTAAATAACTTCTGGAGAAAACAGACAGAAAGAGAAGAGAGAGAGAGAGAGAGAGAGAGAGAGAGAGAGAGAGAGAGAGAGAGAGAGAGAGAACTGCTCGTCCGTCAAAAATGCATCTTGACATTTTCTTCTGAAATAATTCATCATCGATTTATCTATGACGATAAACCAAAAATCGACTCGATTGTTTTTCCACTCCACTTCTTGAATAATTTCCCGCCTGAATTCTAATTTATTTCCAGTTTTTTTACACGATCAACGTGCCTCATTCATCGAAAAACGCTTGATTAATTATTGTCTAAAATCCAACTTATTAAAATTGCTTACTCTAATTATTTTACATCTGAATATTTAGATTTGGGATCCGGAGAAGGGAGAGAGACCAAGACTAGGATATGCACTTTAGAGATTAAGATAAAATTCTTTCTCGTGACTTTCTTGGTGAAGGGGCAGTGGATATCTTTTCCACTCCTCTCCTCTCCTCGGATCAACTCTCAATTAAACTAAAATACGGATATTTGGGATCACTTTTTCACTCTTCAATGTTTAATTCTGTGCACATGAACATCTGTTCACGGAGAAGGATTTCCACTGTTTTTAATTGAACATTCTTCAAGTTCCCAATTCCCCTTCACTAACATGTCACTCATCATTTTCGATGCACTAACAGAATTTTTACCCGGAAAAATTAAATTACTTAGAAAATGCTAATCATCCCTTCTCCATAATTCACGTGAAATATCTCTTACCCTAAATCTACCTATTGTAAGCTCTAATTATCAAAAAATTGGTTTCACATCATTTTCCCTCAATTTTTCTCATTAAAGCTGTACCGAAGTCATTGACAGTCGACGGCCAATGGATGTAGAACTTCAAACTTAATTTTTAAATGAATGTTGTTTGATTTAATGAGAGTGAAAATTCATTAAACGCTACGTGAAGATTTTATTTTGTGAAAAAAAGATTTCAGGAGAAACATTAGGTGATTGATCTTAGGACTAGTCAATCTGTTATTCGATAAGGCATACTCTTGGATCATCAAATGAATATTTAATAATTAAAAGTTATCAATCTGCCACTTCAATGAATTAACATTGATCGTTGGTCAATTCAACAACGAGAATGAGATTTGGCCCTGAATAATACGTTATAATATAAAAAATTGATTAAATTAATGCCTGACCGTACCATTAATGTCGATATAAATATTTAAATATTCCCGGAAAATATTCAAAACCGATATATCAATTAATCCAATTTTCAAATATCTACTTAGAAATCTGTACATAATTCTACGTAAAAATCATTTCATTTCATCCCATTGTGATCCCAAATATTCCACCGGTTTCAACATTTTTATTTACACAGTACTATTATTCACAAATCAATAATCATCTCCACACGTACCACTCGTAGTCCCCAATATCGAAACGAGACATAATTATCATAAAATAATGTACAATAGAAAGTTCATAATTATGCCATTGATAACATTGAATATTAACATGAATTACTCAACAATATAATATAATCGTGGCAATAAAAAATCATTTCTCCCTTCATTATAGAAGAATGGGGCAGAGATCGATATTCAGTTGAATAGTAATCCATGTCATAAGTAGAAAATATTTAAAATATATTTCAAAGGAAAATTCGGTAATTTTTCTTTGATCGTTCGAGATATTTCTCCGAATGTATTGAATCAAACGATTAAAAATTTCTCTCGCCATTTCTTTTGAATCTTCTGTACGTAAACAGTCGCCATTATGTCGGCGCAATGGCGTCAGGCCATGGCGTTGTAACGTGAAAAATGTTTTTACTATTGCACACAGAATGATGAGTCCTTGATTTTCATTGCCACCTATAACTACTTGGGTATTCAATGACAGGTCACTTATACCGTTTCCATCATTCAAAGTCACGATATTTTTATTGAGGCTTTAAATCTACCATTGTTTCCTCATGCCGTATTTACCCCATTAGACGTGAAATATTTTCGGAGTTACGATGCACGAAGTGATATTAAGTTGTAAAGTTTTATTCTACCGTTGTCGTATAATTTGGCAGTACGTTTCATGATTGAGAAAAAAAAAACACCTGAAGTATCTGGATTTTCCATCATTTAATTTACGAGTAAAAATTCTCTCGTTGTTGATAGAGTGGCAGAGGCGTTACTGGTGATAAGTCTTCATCATCAAAGCTCGGCTCCGTGTTCAGCGGAAGCGTAGCAAGTGCTTTCACTATTTCGAAAATAAAATTATTAGGGAATTCAATAGTGGAATCTCTAATGGTGTATAAATAGCTGAGTGGAAGCCATCTATCGAAATAATCTCGCTCATTGACTGTAATAATATGATTGAATAATTGATATTACTAGAGCTGAAATAATGAACCTACACTCAACTACTCACAGTAAAATGAAAAACTTGTAAATAGCGATTATTCAAAATGCATGGAAAAAATTCCATGAATATTCAAACATTTTCGAATGCTCCTCAATAATTCAAGATTTTCATTTACCGTATGATTACCTTAATTTTTCGATCATCAACGAAAGAAAAATACACTACGAAAATAATTAAATCCATGGGATGGAGATGAGGTGGGGGAGTTAATGGACAAACGAATAAATAAAACAAACCTGAAGTAATTGTGATGTGCGTGTCCTATATGGAGGGATGGAGGAAGCTTTTTATGTCGGTCAGTGCGCCTGGTTACCTACACACAGCACAAACGTTCTCCAAACAACACTCTACAAATTTATATCTAATTCTCTTTCGATAAAAAAAGCCATGCCGCATTGTGAAAATCATTGATATTTCTCTTCTTTTACGAGTTTTTTTCGTGAGTCTCTGAGTGAAGTAATTATTTTTATTCTCTCTACACAATTTTTCGACAATTTCATAAGGAAGAGACAGAGCACAGGAATGTCACAATGTGAAGACAATGGAAGAGAACGTGATGGAATGAATAAATGATATTGTTCTTCGGTATTCAGACGCTTGGTCTCTCATGCTGGCACTCTTAGGGTACTCGAAAAAACTCGACACATGCACTTTGTTTTTCAAAATTCTTGCTTTTGGATTATTTAATCTTTTATCCTCATACCAGCCACCATTTTACTCTTCTCCATCACTTGCTTCGCTAAGATCTGATTCAGCTGGAGAATGTGGTCCCTTTGCCTCTTCTCCTCGGCTACTTTCTTTTTTAAAGAGTTGGATTTTTCAATGTCCACATTTTCATCTGTACCCCAAAATTACTTAATGAAATAAACATTTAGAGAATCTTAAAAATTGATCAGTGAATTATTTTTTTAAAATCATTACCATCCCCCTCTGGTGTAGTTACAGTCGTCTCAGACAACATTTTTCTGATAGCATCAGCTTTTTTCAATCTCTGCTTTTTTTCCTCGGCTGATAATTCCGGAGTCTAAAGATGAATCAAGAGAAAAATTTATTTTTTATAAGATTGCAATTAACCGATGTACACCAGTTTTACCACGGATTTTTTTATTACCTGTTCCGGAATATATCTCTCAGGGATAAAGATTTTGTTCGGCGTACCCAAGAGTTGATCGATAGTACTCTCGTTATACTTAAGTTCTTTATGGCTCAGCGTGGACCTGACAACATCAGGGGCATTGATCCTGGGTCGTAGTGCTCTTTCCATGTCCAAATCATCTCTAGCTCTTCCCATCCCCTGCAAATCGAAGAGAAAAATATCAGAAAATCCCCTCTGACTAAAACCAAAGAAATCCACCCAAGTGAAATCGCAAGAGAAGAAAGAGAGTAAAGAGGAGAAATCCAAACCGAAATAAAAACAAATGCGTAATGTCAACTGATAAATGAGAGAATGGATGAGTCGAGATATCAATTCCGTATAATATTTTTAATTATCTTAATAACCTCAACCGTGTTGAGTGTTGAGATTATTCAAATTCTTCATTAATCATTAAATTAGCAATTGACTATGAAACGAGAGATTATAAGCCGAGATTTTTCAGAAGTATTTTCATCACTCCTGACACAGTTTTTCATGGAATGCATAATCAGTTAATATGATGAGATCATAATTGAATTCGAAATCTTCATCACGTATGCAATTACCCCAGCAATAATCGAGTTTATGGCAAAACGTCAATCACCTGTTTCGTAGTTTATGAAAAGGTGTTTTAATATTGCTTGCTATAATCAGTCATGAACGAGATAATTAAACGTACAGTAAGTGGTGATTATCGCATACAAAATTACCTACTAATATGAAATTCACGAATTCTTTGAGTGTATTCTCAATGATTCTTAATAATTATCTATCCAAACCATTCAATCATTCTCCAGCTGAAATACAGTAGAATCCCATTATAGTTTTCCCTCCGATACCCCCGGGCTACAAAATGTAAACAATTCATTGTTTCATCCGTTGAGGAATTGAATTTTGGGTAAAATAAAGCCGAAAAAAAATTTCGGCTATAACGGGAGTCAACTGTAAATTAAATCAAAATCTACCATCTTGGAAAAGGTGTCTTCGAGGTCGAGCATGGGTTTACTACTGGAGACAGTATAGTGTCGTCTCTTTTCCTTGGGTACTTGACGTCTTCGAGGCCCATCGGACCTCTTCTCAGTCATTTCTTTGATTATCTGCTTGGCGGCCTCGCTCTTGAATACTGGAGACAATTGCGGAGATTCATTTGCATTGTTAATATTCATTGTTGAGCTCGTGAGTCTCTCCTGAGCTGATGATGCTGGCACTGGTGGTGTCAATGTCGGACTCATTGGGTTTATCGGACTACCAAGACTGTCAGTTCTCTCAGAGGTGACTGAACCAGTTGGATATGTTATGTAGGGAACACTCTGGGCGCTTGTCAGTCTTGGATAGACTGATGGATAGTTCTGGTGGCTGGGACTGTACGATGGGCTTGAGTAATTCGGCGAACTCATTGGCACGTGTGAACTAGATGTTGGACTCTCTGTGTGGGGTGATAGCGTGCTGTCTGAACTTCCCTCTTGATTCTCAAACTAAATTTGTGGGTGAAGATGAAATAATAAAAATGATAAAAATCATGCTGGGTGGTGAATTGAAAATATTGCATAATATGGTTTGAAAAATTTGAATCTCCCCAGTGAATATAAGTAAATTCTGTGAAATGTTTTCTCGATGAAGCATATTCTGGGGAAAATAATTCTTACCCTCACACGATGTCTTCTAGCCATCATATTTCTCAGGGCATTCATACTATCACTTCTCGGTGGGGGAGGAACAGGACCATTATGGACACCTGGCTTTGGCCTCTGACCCCCAAATCCTCGGGGCAGTGACATACTGCGTTGGAACTGAACGTCATCCAGCTCTGAAAGCTGGACTGTGCTCTGTGCGTGCATGAGGACTGACTCCTCCACAACTCTACCAAGTTGAGCTTTCTCAAATTGCTGAGAGCCAAACTCATCTTCACCGAGTCGCTTAGCACCACCTGGCGCCTGGAGACCATTAGTCAGGGGAATTCCAATGTTACCATTTCTATCTCCACGGTCTCTCTGGCGTCTCTCAGATTCTCGTTTCACTATTCTGACGGTTTTTATCTCCTGCTTCTCACGATTCGGCATTAATCCTAGAATTCATTATAAAAGTTTGGCACAATAAATTTCTGGAATTAATTCCAGGTATTCTAAAGGGAATAAAATTCGAGAATGAAAATCTCCGTTATATTCAATTTTTCTGCATCAATGTCAATCCATTTGAAAGCATATTGTTAGTTATGAAGTTATGAAGAACTAAATAAATTCTCTTCACCTGCAAATTTATTATCCTCATGCCCATACCCTCCATTCACCAGCAGTGCCTCTTCGCACGGAGGAGGGGGTGGTGGAGGGACATATTCAGGCGGTGGAATAGCCATGCCATTGAGCCCCAAATCGATTCTTTTCAGTCCATCGGACGAATTAATTCTCCGTGAATCGGTGTTCACATAAAGTGGAACATTGCTTTGAATCGGACTCCCCTTGCCCTGCATTTGGTCCTTGAGCAATTGCTGTTTGAGCTGGTGCTGTTGTATCTGCTCCCTCAATTGTGGTGAAATAGCAGTAATGTGATTTTGCTGTGAATCACGGTGATAGGAATGCTGATGGCCAGATTGCACCGAATTTGGTGGCTGAGCTGGACGATTCACAGACGTGGGAGAGTAACGAGCCGCTGGAGGATCTTTATATTGTGGAGATGGTATATGCTGATGTGGACTGCCGTTTTGACGATTTCTAGGTGATATTGACGAACTCGAACTCGAGGGTGAGTCCAAACCGTGATCTAAGGTCATTCCTGAATCTAGATCGGTTTCCAGCCAAGAACTTGGAGTTTTTTTCTTTGGATGGTAGACTTGAGGTGCCGGTGAAACTGCTTGCTGCTGATTAGGTCTAATCTGTTGCACCAGACTGTGCGACTTTTCCGTCAATTGTCGCACTTGTACGCTCAATTCTTGTCTCTGCCTCTGGAGATCACTCACTAACTGCTGGACCCTTCTCAATTCTGTCTCAAGAGCAACAGTCGTGCCCGAAGTGTCCCTCGTCATATTTCCTGCATATCTCCTCGAAGCTTGAAGCTTCTGCCTGAGCACCACAAGATCCTGCTCTAGTCTGGCATTTTCTGCGACAGTCTCCTCCAATTTCTAGAATACCAAAATAACAAACCACTTATTAAAAACCCTGAGTCGAGTACAGTCCAACGTACATTGAAGCATAACGGATAAATAATACAAAAATGCGCAACTCAGGGAAAACATTCCGCAAGGCATTCTCCACAATTTTGTGATGCATCTGAAGGATTTACCTGGAAAAAAACTGGCTTTACCTGGAAATAACGAAGGTACATGTTTAATTCAGGGGTCGAGAGGAAGTACAGCAGTGTAAGGTCATTATTATCATTTCATTCAACATTCACTTCCTCTCAATCCACAGTAAAACAAAACTAAACAGATTATTATTCAATAAAAGGAGAATTTTTTAAAAATCCAAAAACGTGTTTCACGAGTAGAATAGAAATAGCAAAGTCGTGGAATTGTACTGTTGTGAAAAAAGGAAATCTAAAACTGAAAACAGCAAACTCAACGAACTCAACAATAGATGAATGGAAACTCTGCTGATGCTTCATTCCCCACCTCCGTCGCGTTCCTCCACTCGACAATATTAATGAATGTTGTACCTTTTTTTTAAATAGATAATACAGTTTACCTTGGAATTATGAGCAAGGAGCATTCGAACTCTAGCCAACTCTCTCTCCAGCAGGATCTGCTGTTTTTTGTACCTCTCCACTTCAGCAGGATTACTTCTGCTGCCCTGGAGCTTGTACTTCAACCCCCCCAGCGCCTTCTCGAGTAATTCCTGAAGCAAATGAGGTCACAGTATATCATCTTTTTACCACAAATAAAGCTGAAGGGCAAACAGGAGCGCAAAAGATGTGGCACTGAGTGGTATCAATTTTTTTCACCTACTGGGAGAATAGAAGTGAAACTATCACCCTTTGTTCTGACCTCTGACATTGAACCCGAGTATTAAAATCATGATTTGCATTCTGCATTATAATTGTCGAGAGATCAGTGTTTTAATTGACTTCTTACGGAGCAACCTCTCAAGTTACGACTTTCCGCAGTTTTGACTTAAACTTTGAAATTTATTAAATTATTCACTGAATTAGTTGATTTCTAAAAGGGATTGATGCATTAATTAAATGAATATGATATCACGATATTCATATGTATGACATACATTTAGTGAGAAAAATCAATTGAACTTCTGATATCTATTCAGTAGCATGTTGCTCCCATTCGCAGAAACAAATATCGATACGGAGATACGATTTACCCCACGGTCTCTACTTCTCCCAGTTCTATTCGGACAATTTTAATCGAATATATATCAGATAACTCACCTTGTCCTGCTGAAGGCTGTGCAGTGTTCCCGACTCTTCCTGGAGCAATCGATCCAGTTTGTAGAGCTGCTGCACCTTCGCCTGTGTAAAAAAATAATGGTTGAGTGCTTGAAAGAACAGGCACTAGAGCCACTATAATATCGCATTACAAGTGTGCAATTCCGGTTTAAACGATTCAAGTTGACAACAACAAACCACTGTTTTCTTCTTGCTCATCTCTCTTTCTCCATGTTACTCGATATCCCTAGACTCAGCTATTGAATAACTCGGAGTACGAGATGTGGAAATTGGGAGAGAGGAGAGGGAGGTAATAATTAACGGGTGAACAATTAACCAGTTGTTCGTGTCTAGCAGTTGAGATTTTATCGCGTGGAAAAGCCGAGATAATACGTAGTTTGGGGGGGGAGGACAAATTTCGAGTTAGCGCCTCCATTGATGTCAGTGATAAAATACCGAGACCCCAGCTTCTTGAATAATTTTCCGGCGAATTAATAATCGAGTGATTAATTTCCCCGTAAACCGCGTTTCGGTCGATTTATCATAGTATTTATCGTGGATTATTCTTTTATTCCAATCGACAGAGAAAAGATTGATGACCTTTTCTGGAGACTGACTCCAGCCTGATAACTAGCTCATAATACAGACCCGGGTTAATCCAAAAGTTGCAGAATAGATAGTTGTTATTGAGCAAGCTTTTGCTGCAGTTATGAAAGTAGTGAATTACGAGTTCTGAGTGAAAAAAAAAAACACTTGAGGCTTCTCAAGTACCTGCAGTTGTCCGTGATCAGGACTCAGCCTTTCCCAGTCTCTACGTTCGTCAGCTAAAATTCTCTGATCCTGCATCCTCTGATTGTATTCTGAACGCTCACGGTGTTCACGTGTCGGCTCCTGCATCTGGATTAACTCCTGACGAGAGCCAGAAACACTTCCATTCACGCCATTTCGATTGTACAGAGTACCAAGCTTCACCATATTGTCCACCAAATTCACCAGTGGCTTGCCCTTTTCGTACTACAGAGAACAGAATGATAGAGATTAAATTTGCATAAAATTTGCATCCCCAGGTTCCGCCGAGGATTTACTCAATGAAATTGTCAGACATTTATCATTTGGCAGAATCGAAACTTGAAGATGAATCTATTAGTCTTGTTTTCTTTCTTCTTTACTAAAATCGACTTCTGTCGAAACGGACTGAGAAAATATTTTGAAATAATTACAAGTCTTTCAGTCAGACGATGAAATTCCCACGGATTTTTATTTGCATTCACTCAACCAACAGCAAGACGAACTTTATAATGACGCTTTCATCCCACAGAAATTACCAGAAGAGTTGATATTTGAAATATGAAAGCGCTTGGTTTAAAAACTCACCTGTTTTTCGAGGTCCATCAGATGTTTTTTAAGCTCGTCGAGCTTTTGCAGATTCTCGAGTCTTCGCGGTTGGTCCAATTCAACAAGCCTCGCCTGGAAAAATACCAAATAAAAAGAGACATGAGTATTTCTATTTGAAACACTGAAATTCAGAGATAGATAGCGAGAATTTTTATTTCAATGCTTGCAGCTTTTCATAAACACCTGAAAAAATTGAAGGAAAGAAATGTTAAAAGAGACAGCACTGACTTTTATACTTTATTAGTTGAATGTGAATTGGTTGATACGAGAGACGAGAGCTATGATACAAACAGTGGAATGGCTGAACTGTTTCTGACGTTAATGGATAGACAGTGAACACTTTGAGTCCTTGATAGAAAGCAGTTCTCGAGTGTGATTGGGAAGGAAGGGGCTACTGTATAAATCCCTCAAGGTAACCACTCTAAGCACGATTAGAAAGAGAGCAGATATGATCGGTCTGAAAAATCCACGTATGCCATGAAGTGCCCACCGAAAATTTTCCAGTGAAAAAAATTAACCAACATAATAATTGAATAATCTATCGTACTTTAATTGATCATCATCGTATCTTTTTTTTTCACGCTGCGAAGAGACTATTTCTGAACTCGGTCAAGAAGAATCGATTAGCAGGATTGGCCCCAGCTCATTCAATCTACTGTCCAATACGCGAGGAGTGTGTGAGAGAGAGAAAGAAAGAGATGAGGAGAATTATTAATTCAGACTTGATTAGCCCGTGGAAAACTTTGCGAGAGTTATACGGCATCAAGTTTCTCTGCAGCTTTATTCCTTCACCTTTTCTTTTTTCTTTCCATGTCAACGCAATTAGGAAGTTTTTAAATTTTCTCAGAGACCTGATGAAAGCATTAGATTATTAATGAAGGATAATTAATTGATGATTAACGTTGCAGCTGGAGGACCCCAACACCTTGAGGAACAATAATGAAAAATGAATTGTTGACACACTGAAATAAGGACCTGTGCCTCAATCTCCATGTGACACGTCTCCATTGCCTTGCAGATGGCTGCACTCTGTCGTCTCAGCTGAATCAGAAGGAGTACTAATTCCTCGTGAGTTCTACCCAGGAGTTCTCCTGCAGACACTTGTGTCAAACAGTTACTATCACCGGATGAAGCACGTAGAAGGACTTCCGTCGATCTCTGCTTTGATAGAATTGGCTGTAGAAATAGCATCATGCACAAAAAAATTAACACATTTTCGTTAATCTCATTATTCATCAATGACAAATAAAAAACACAAAGCATCATCAATTTAGAAAGAACAATACATGCAATGTTTTCAATCGATCCGGAGATTTCAAAGGATATATCGAAAATCAGAGATGACCAAAACGTGTCAATGAATAAATATTTTTCCACAAGAGAAATTCCACTTGAAACTCTTAAAATTCAGGCCAAAGATTTATTGAATCCCGAGGCACCCGATAAAACTCACGCCCACCTAAAGAAACATTTTGATAGCCACACAAAAAAAAAACAAGTTCAGTTCTGCCAATGCATCCACGTCTATTATCGTTTGTTCATTCTCCTATCTCTCTCAAGAGTCACGTAGAAGTCACATCGTGAAAGTGTCCAGCAAGCCGGACACGAAGACCACGAGAATTCATCCGGAGAAATCTTATTCCACCCAGACTCACTCACTCCGTTTTTTTCTCAAGATAGAAAACCCGAAGATTATCTTTTTTCCCCAAACGGAAAAGAATAATTTTTCACTAGTACGATTGAATCTATCGGGATCCACAGAGGGAAAGTGTGTCGTTCAATTCTTTCTTCAATTTCTACAGTCTCTGTATTTTATCGGGTCAAAGTGTTGTGGTGTCTTGCAGAATTCTCACTAGTGATTTTCTCATGATGAAGTATATTAAAACTAATAGAACGATAAGAAGTGGAGTGACAAAGATAAAACTTGAAGGATGATATTAATTTGGATTTCTCAAATCTCATCCTACCTGGAGCACTTCTGATTCACCGGGCAAGATATTGAGTATTCAATTATTAATACCACAATTAATGGAATACGCACAATCATTAAGTGGTTGAGTATCTGAGGAACCCAGCAAGACTGGCGTCTTGCCCGGCACTTGAGACTGTACCTCCTGCAATGCCTTCACCCATGCTCCTTCCACCAGCTTAAATCTCCTCTCTTTCACCAACTCATTCCTATCATCCATTCCCCATCTTCCTCAGGCTCTTACACCAACCATTTCCCCCACTTTCCTCATCTTTATTTCTGTTTTGTTTCTTTTCATCATGAGGACACTCCACCTCAACCCTTGGCCCAGGACCGTACTGGCTTCTGTCTTCCTGACATTCAGAATCTATTCTTGAAGTAATTGCCATTGTCCATTTGTCTCACCGGGTTAATCGTCGCTAGTTGAACAAAGTCAATTTCAGAATGTATCAAAGAGCTCTTCAGCATTGCCCTGGGGCAGCTCTTCAGGTCTTTATGATCAGTGGTTTTTCTTTTTTTTGGGAAGAAGATAATTTTCATTTCTGTGGGAGGATTTTTATTGTATTTCGATGAATTTAATTCGGTGTTTTGGGAAGTAATGGTGGGTTTGACCGCGGATTACGGCACTGGGTCTCTCTCTTGGGAAACCAGTCTGAGGGTCGGAGCCCTTTGGCCAGCCAAAGGATCAAGGCTGCTCGCCAATTGGCCGACAGACCTCTCTACTTTTTCCTTCTTCATCCACCGTGAATTCAACCAGCATCTCAACCCGTCGTCCTGTATCTTTCTCTCTCTTTTGCGTGAATTTTTTTTTTTTGTATTTTATCCATTTATTTTTATTTTGGTACAGTATTCCTGAGCCCACAGGATATCTCGCACTCCTGCGCACACCGGTAAACCGTCTTGCGAACAATTGCTGGGCTTTAGGAATGGATAAGGCCAGGGGATTTATCGAACTCATTCCTTGTTACCTTCCACTTTCTTTCCACTGGTGAAACTTCCGGGAGGAAATACGATGGGACTTATTGAGGGAATGTGTCATTTCTTGAGGAAAGGCTTTACAGACAATTATATCAGAGTAGTTTTCATCCACTTTTAAAAATTGCTGATTAATGGCAAAACAAAACAAACAATTACAATCTCGACAAACTAATAAATGGAAATCGTAAATTTACAAATTGACATTCCACCATTTCTTCAATCACCACTAAAAACT